AAAGACCCTGGACCCCCCCCCCCCGCCCCAGGCACCCCTAAAGATGGGAGGTTTACTCTCGCTGCTCCTTCACCCCGACAGCCACAGGCCCTGAGGGTGTGGGACATGCACCCCCGACTCCTCTCTCCCTCTCCCCCTCTTCCCCCAGCTCACCACCACCAGCCTCACCCTTCCCCTCCCGGGTGACTGTAGGGCCCCCCCTCTCCCCTCAGCATGGGGTCATCAGGCTTCCCTCTGGGGTCCTTGGTCCTGAATGATGACCATGAGACCCTCCAGTCCCCCTCCTCCTTCCAGATGACAGTCCCAGCTCGGGAAGTAGGGCTCTCCATGACCAGGCCCAGCTGGCCCAGCCCACCTGCTGGCATGTCCCCCGGCTGACCTCCTGGCCCAATGTAGGCCTTCACTGCCCAGCCTTTGTACGTGCTCCCCCCCCCAACACACACACGCACACACACTGCTCCAAGACCTGGAGGGGGACCCAGGCCCCCCTCCTTCCACACTCGCAGCTCTAGGTCCCGCCAGGAGAGCTGACGCCCCCTTCTCCTCCCCCAGGAACGGCGACAAGACCATCGTGTTCAGCAACGGGCAGCGGGACATCCACACGGCCGAGTTCAAGCGGCGGGAGTGCCCCGACGGCACCGTCAGGACCGTGTACTGCGATGGCCGCCAGGAGACCAGGGACGCATCCGGGAGGGTGAAGGTCAGGGGCGAGGCCAGGAACCGTGTCCTGGACTGGAAGTAGGTCACCCACGAACACAGCCCAGGCGTCCAGTCACCGTTTTGTTAAAACAAAAACAATGAACGGATGACGCGGTCGCTGCCCCGAACGACGGCCACACTCGAACTCTCGGATCCCGAGGTGCCTGGAGGCTGCGAAGGAAGAGACGCCGCGTCTGGTTTCCTGGTTAGAGAAGCCCGAGGCCCCACCAGCCAGGGGTCCGAGAGGGGCCGGGACCCAGGAGGCTGCAGGCCGGCCACGTGGACCGTGTGGCCTCGCGCACGTGGTGGCCTGTCCTCTCGGTCCCTCAGCGGCCCTCGGTCCTCACGGTGTTTCCTTCCCTCGCTTCTCGTGGCCCCGGGTTCTTGCAGACGGACCTGTCTCTAAACAGACCTGAAGGAAGGCAACCACATCCCTGCCACTGAAGGGAATAAAATGGGGCGTCTCCTGTTGCATTCTCTGTGTTAAAACTATTTTGTATGTTTTATATTAACTGTTTATTGAAGATCATGTTGACTCATAGATTGGAGAGCAGGTTCAGACCTCTTTGTCTCTGTCCACTCACGTTTCTGGGCTGTGGCTGCTGGCACCTAGTTTGATATGCACGAGGCAAAACCAACCACCCACCCTTCACCCACTACCCACCCACCAACAACCCACGGCCAATGCTCTAACAACCACCCACCAACCACCTACCACCCACCCTCCAACCAACCCACCAACCAATCACCAACCAACCAACCAACCAACCACAACCACCCACCAACCACCTACCACCCACCAAACAACCAAACAACCAACAACCAACCAACCACAACTAACCACCACCCACCCTCCACCCACCAACCAACAACCAACCAACCAACCACAACCACCCACCCACCCACCAACTACCACCCACCCACCATCTACCAACCACCCTCCAACCAACCCACCAACCAATCACCAACCAACCAACCAACCACAACCACCCACCCACCCACCAACTACCACCCACCCACCATCTACCAACCACCCTCCAACCAACCCACCAACCAATCACCAACCAACCAACCAACCACAACCACCCACCCACCCACCAACTACCACCCACCCACCATCTACCAACCACCCTCCAACCAACCCACCAACCAATCACCAACCAACCAACCAACCACAACCACCCACCCACCCACCAACTACCACCCACCCACCATCTACCAACCACCCTCCAACCAACCCACCAACCAATCACCAACCAACCAACCAACCACAACCACCCACCCACCCACCAACTACCACCCACCCACCATCTACCAACCACCCTCCAACCAACCCACCAACCAATCACCAACCAACCAACCAACCACAACCACCCACCCACCCACCAACTACCACCCACCCACCATCTACCAACCACCCTCCAACCAACCCACCAACCAATCACCAACCAACCAACCAACCACAACCACCCACCCACCCACCAACTACCACCCACCCACCATCTACCAACCACCCTCCAACCAACCCACCAACCAATCACCAACCAACCAACCAACCACAACCACCCACCCACCCACCAACTACCACCCACCCACCATCTACCAACCACCCTCCAACCAACCCACCAACCAATCACCAACCAACCAACCAACCACAACCACCCACCCACCCACCAACTACCACCCACCCACCATCTACCAACCACCCTCCAACCAACCATTAACCAACCACAACCACCCAGCAACCACCCACCACCCACCATCCACCCAACAACCAACCAACCAACCAACCAACTACAACCACCCACTATCCACCCTCCACCCACCTGCCCCAGGGAACTCACCACCCACCTTCCTTGGGCCATAGCTGGCGCCTTCTTTGCCCCCTGCAGTGACTTGTTATGTTTGTTCAGTTGCACTTGGTGGAGAAATGGGGATACACACCACTCCCTCTTCCCTGAAGCGAAAGGCCCAGGTCTCTGAGGAACGGGCACAGCCCCGTCGTCCGTCCCTGACCTGGTCCTTGTCTGCTCCCCTCAGAAGGAGGCTCTGCGTCCCCAGCGCACCCGTGAGCACCTGTGCTCTGAATGCCACCTCCTGCTGCCAGGGCTCCTGCCGCCGTGGGGCCCTCACATCACACGCCCTTATTCCCACTCGGCCGCCTCTCACCCCGGGAGAGAAGGAGCCCAGACTGTGCACGTCTCCCTGACAGATGGCCCACGGCGGGCCCGGCCACAACTTCACAGGCGCCCATAGAGCCCCCCCCTCAGCAGCACCGGCTTCCTCCTCTCCGTGACTCACCTGACGCACGATGAAAAGTGAGTATTAGCAACACCGAGCGTGAAAAACACGCAACACAGAACACGGAGAGCCCGGCCGGCGGGGCTCAGGGGCTGAGCGTCGACCTATGAACCAGGAGGTCAGGGTTCGATTCCCGGTCAGGGCACAGGCCCGGGTTGCAGGCTCGACCCCCCGTGTGGGGCGTGCAGGAGGCAGCTGATCCATGACTTTCTCCCTCTCCCTTCCTCTCTGAAATCAATAAAAAAAGGTGATCAACCCGGGCCTGTGCCCTGACCGGGAATCGAACCCTGACTCCTGGTTCAAAGGTCGATGCTCCGCCCCTGAGCCCTGCCGGCTGAACTTGTCTCACGTTTATAAGGAAACCACGGGGTGTTGGGAGGAGGGGATGCCACGCTGGGAGGTTTACGTTCCCCGTGGGAGGAATAACACAGACGCCGAGCCGGAGGCAGGAGCCGGAGGCAGGGGGGCCGGGACATGGACACAGGATGGAGGGCGCTCTGGGAGCTCCCCGCAGGGAGGACCCCCTTCCTTCCCAGGGTGCGGAGGGGAGGAGGGCGAGCCCTGCCCACCAGGGGGCGCAGGTGGCCACCGTGGCCCCCGCAGCCAGGAAGGCGGAGGCTCAGGAAGCAACCTGAGCTCCCCAGGATCCACTGGACATGCTGCCTTCCGCCTGCTGCCCGCGGAGCGCGGAGCCAGTGGGAGAGGAGGACGGGGCGCGGTCACCCCATGTCCCTGCCGGTTCCTCCCCTCGGGGGGCAGGGGCAGAGCAGGGGCAGGTGTTACCGGTTATCCCGAAGGAGCTGTAGGCGCAGCCACTGCCTCCAGAGCAGATGGACAGGCCGTCCGCCCGGGCACGCGGGGCACCGAGCCAGATACTGTGCTCGGCCACCTGGCCACACGGTCACCTCCAGCGAAGCTTTAACCCAGTGGAACTTCGGCCACAGGAGCGGCTCTGCTCCTCAT